CTTTATAATATAGTATATATATATATATATATATAGACTTGGGATCATGTGAAACTAAGGGTTTTTCGTGAGACCCGTAAGACCAATTCTCAACCCTTGGATTAGATCTACAATCTGACAATCTGAACATTCATAAACACCACGAGACTTCTCAATAATCACAAAATTGCTACCGTACAACTTTAGACTATTAGATCATTAGCTTATAAAGTTGATCAATGAACATAAATTGGTCTTACGGATCTCACGAAAAACTTTTGGTCTCACGTGAATCCAACCATATATATATATATATATATATATATATATATAAAGGGTTATTATTGAGCTTCACCGATAATACAACTTTATAGTGAAAACTAAACATTTATATACTTTCATCTATCTTTACCTACCTATTTTTATCATAATAATTGAAACTGTAATAAATACATGTATGTGAAACCGATTAAATATATATATAAAAGTTTGTGAAAATAGATGAAAATATAAAGTAGATGAATATAATTGAAATTAGATCGAAAAGTCAACTAATTCAAAGATTTAGAAGTGTTATCATCATAATGTTATTTTCAAATGGTCCAAATTATAACATATATCTGTACCTATAATATAATTTTATATATTGTTTTGGAGGTATTCCAGGTGCATAACATTCACTGCTTCACACCAAAAAAAAAGGGAGATACGTCTGAGTTAAACTTGAATATTGAAGTTTTCTTTCATTTTTTCGACAGTGAAGTAGAATCAAGCTTATAAGCTTATTATCTCAGGTCGGAACAAGTTGATAGGATTCTTCTTTTTACGTCATCATGACGACAAAGGGACGGAATTATTTATTTACATATTCGTATACGCGTTAATTGAGTAAAGAAAACGATGATTTTTTTTTTAAATTAGTATATAGTTGAATTTATTTAATTAAATAATAAATTACATAAAATTGAAGGGTTTTTTTTGGGAAGAAAAGCAAATAGTTGATGAGAAAAGTGGCATACGTTTATCCGGCGATTGAAATTAATATTGGTTATAGAAAAGTAGGGGTGTGCAAAAAATCATCCAATCTAATATCAACCGACAGATCCAATTAGAACAATCGACAACAATCGGATATTCAATTGTAATTGAATTGGAACGGATCCAAAATTTCAACATCCAAATCGGATCGGTCGGTTCTTTAATGACAGTCTAACATCCAACAAAACCGAACGGATCCAATACAATGACCATCCAACTACATCCAATTAATATCTATATATAATTATTAATAATTTTTACGATTTTGTTTTTTAATTAATATTTATATACATTGCCTTTTAATAACTTAAGAAAATATACAAATAATTAGTTGAGTATTGAATGAATTAAATATGATCCAATGGATGAAACCAATCTGATCCAATAATCCATTGGATTTTGATCGGATCGGATGTCCAATGTTAATCGGATTGAATCCGATATCCAATACATGATTAGATCAAATCGGATCCACCTAAATTTATTGAATCTCAACCGATAAACACCTTTAAAAAAAAAAAAAAAAAAAAAAAGGTAACAGGATAAGGTACAGGTCTGCGTTGCGTTGTTGATCTGGACTTGGATATTGTTGCTCTGGAAAAATGATCAGCCACCAAAATTAAAACGCCCTTTTTTTCTGTTCACCTGTCACTTGTTTCCCACAATTAATATCACTATTTATTATTAAATTTTAAAATAGAAAAAATGAGTTTTTATTTTATATTTACAGTACTAAAGTCATCCTATTATAATGTAAGATAATACTATTTTAAATTAAATTAAGAAACCAAAAAGAACTATTTATATAATTACCATACTACCCCTGAAGAGTTTCTAGTCAACAAAGTATTACCCCTCTCGTATGCTTAAGTTGTAAAAGGGCGGTTCGGTCTTCTCTACGCACGCGTCTATTAAGAAAAGTCAACCCCTTGACTCATCACTTTCGTCTTAACTTCCTAACTTCAAATTTCCGTTATATAACCTCATTCAAACACTCATTTATGGAAATACGTAGCTTTATATATCAATCACATATCTATATAAAAAAAACCCAAAATCTCGATATCCAAATTCGTGACGGTAACTTGATCAAAAAGATTCGAGACCGATGGCGGAAGGAAGTGATGGAAGAACGTTGGAGCAAACGCCCACATGGGCGGTTGCCACCGTTTGTTTCGTGATGATCGTCATCTCCCTTTTTATCGAACAAATCATTCATATGATCGGACACGTACGTATAATCACATATATATATATATATATATCATTTCGATCGTTAAAAGCTAATCTTTAAGCTTTAACTAATCATTTTTCCTTTTATTTATTATCTTTTATAGTGGTTCAAGAAGAAACGAAAGAAGGCTTTATATGAATCCCTGGAAAAGCTCAAAGCAGGTATTAATTATTAATCAATTTAATTTCATTTTGGATGTGTGTGTGTGTAAATATATATGTATATATATATATATATATATGTGTGTGTGTGTGTGTGTGTGTGTATGTATGTATTGTGGACTTAATTCTGGTTTAATTTGTAGAGCTTATGTTATTGGGGTTCATATCGTTATTATTAACGGCGGGAACATCACCAATTACAAAGATATGTATATCAGAAGGAGCTGCCGACACGTGGCATCCTTGCAGCAGGAAGGAGGAGGAGGAGGCGTCGGCCGACGATGGAGAGGGTCGCCGGAGGTTGCTTACTTGGTCAAAAATGGGCGACAGTGCTCGCCGGATCTTAGCTTCTAGTGGTGGCGAAGACAAATGTGCAGAAGAGGTTGTCATTTCTATTTTTCTAACATAAAATAATAATCATAAATAAAATATGTGGTTTTCAACAAATTATTTACAACACGTTCTACTTTCAATCCTTTTTTTTTATTAACAAGGATATCCAATCAGCTATTTGAGTCGACTAATCTCAAGACGATCACCAGCTGGTTTACAGATAGTTCGAAATCATCGCATTTGAACTTCCGTGACCATAAGGAAATTTTTATTACTACTTGGATTTAAATCTGGAACCTCCTAATACATTTAACATTTAGAGCCAAGCTCAAACGAATCAGACATCACCCTTATGATTTACTTTGAATCTTTATACCCAAAACCAACTTTGAAAAATTAACCCTTTTTTTAGCTTTAATTTATTTTTTAAAAGGTTTTTCTAATAATGATTTTATTTAAATAAAAATTGTAAAAACCCATTTTGAATGCATTTGATTTGATGATTACAACGTTTGAGTTCGAGCTAATAAAACTGTTTAGAAGAGTTTTTGTTGTCCGTTTCATTTTATTATTATATATTAGAAAAATTACGATTGTTATTGACATTGAATTTAAAATTTTACAGGGAAAAGTATCGTTCATGTCGTATGACGGGGTTCATCAACTTCATATATTCATCTTTGCTCTCGCCTTATTTCATGTCATTTACTGTATCCTTACCATGGCTTTAGGACAAGCAAAGGTAAATTTTGGCTTAACGGAAATAATCGTTTTTCTTGCTACATATTTTTGCATGGAAATTGATGATCAGATGATTTTTTATGTATGCGTTTACAGATGAAAAAATGGAAGCATTGGGAGAAAGAAACAAAGACCGTAGAATATCAGTTTTCTCACGGTACGTAGATAAAAAATTACTATATTAGACTGTAACAAATCTTATTCGACTAATTATTCAAGTCGATTTTTTTTAACTATGAAATGGTTTCCCAATGAATTATTCTGTCGAAGATGAAAAATAATAACTTTGAAAATGTGATTCGAATATGTGTAGATACATTTGTATGTTTATGTATATATTAATTTGAATTCATGGTATTAGACAAGAATAATGTAATACATTTGATGATTTACATATGATTATAAATATATATATATGTATGTATAGATCCAGAGAGGTTCAGATTTGCAAGGGACACGTCGTTTGGAAGAAGACACATGAACTTTTGGACCAAGTCTCCGGTGTTATTATGGATTGTAAGTCTCCGTGGATTTTTGAGTCTTGATTTGCATAAATGAGTCCTCTAAAAAAAACGATTGAACGAGATCACACGGGTAAATGATTTGTTGGGAAGGGAAATAAAGTCGTAGAAATCACAATTAAAGACCAAGTCATGCAATATTTATATACAAAATCGTAAAAACTAAAGTACTCAGATTATTAAAATTGTAATCTAAAAAATATATTCTAGATTTATCTCGAAGGATGAAAATACGTCAATTTTGCCCGTTTTTATTTGTTTTTTTAAAACATGCAGCGAAAAGATTAGAAAGATCTATGAAAAAGATCAAAATAATCAATAAAGACCTAACACGTTATTTTTTTCATTATATTTGTTAAAATTAAAATAAAATCAACGATCGAAACGACCCTTTGTCTTCGAAAGACTTTTAAAACGATAAGAAAAAGTCAATTCTCTTTTATCAATAATTATTTTGAATGCCATTCAATAGTAATAATTGCAACAATTTCTTGTTTTAATTGCGAAAAGAATATATATATATATATATATATATATATTTAAAAAAAAACTCGAATAATGTGCATTCATATACGATCAACCGTTAATGATTCAGGGTTATGATTAATCATCTACGAGATAATACATGTAATAATATACAACACAAAAAGATCATGTTAAAACGGATCAAGCTTTTATCAGACATATTTAATTACTGTATTTTAATTTACATTTACTAATTTTTTCTTTTTTTTCAATGTTAGGTTTGTTTTTTCAGACAGTTTTTCCGATCAGTCCCTAAAGTTGATTATCTCACACTGAGACACGGATTCATCATGGTAATTTCCGTTACAACTTCCCTCATAACAAATCCTTACAGTGTTGTATAAATAACCATCTCATTTTCTAAATATATCAGCACAGTGAAGTTTACATTTATTGTATTTTTTTTTTCTAAAAAATCAACTTGTTATGATAACGAGTACAGGCACATCTAGCCCCACAAAGTCAATCAGGATTTGACTTTCAAAAATACATCAATAGATCACTTGAAGAAGATTTCAAGGTCGTTGTGGGTATAAGGTAACTTCTTTGTCGACCATTATTTACAATTATGTAAAGTTAATTGTTTCGATATTTAATCAATATTTATCTTACGTTTTTCTATTTTTCTTTCTTAACAGTCCACCAATATGGTTATTCGCCATTGTCTTCCTACTCTTTAATACCCATGGTACGTTTGCGTTAGTGAGTAAATAAACTTCCAGTCCTACAATTATCGTATTTAATCAAAGGGGGTGTTTGAGATTGCTTATAAAAACAACTTATTGACTTATTCCGGTGTGACACTTCTGAGTGTTTGGATAAACAGCTTATACCGGTGCCAAACCGGTAATAAGGAGTTTTTGAAGAAGTTAAATCCTTCTAACTTATAATAAGTTGATAAGTGATTTTGTAAAAAAAACATAAGTTGTTTCAAATAAGCAATCCCAAACACCCCCAAAATATGTTAGAGTAAGAGATAGTAAATTAGTTTTCAACAGTTATATAGCAACGGAACTGCCACAACGATATTTGGAATAGCCAAATTATTGTTTTGGTAACCGCAATCGTACAATCCAACTTATCATGTGCAACTCTCAATAGATCTGAAGTTAACTATTAAACAAACCCTTTAATAGCATAAAGGGTGCATTTGGTATGTTGAACGAGATAAAACATAACAAGGATCACTGTTCCACGTTAGAGGTTAATTTTGACTATATAATAAATTGGTTATTTTACCCGTCTTGTCTTACTAAACGCTGAACAACTGTCATGTTTCTATATCTGATTTTCTGTTCTATTCTATTTAAATACCAAACGTATCCTAAGGAAACTTAAGGGGTTGTTTGTTTACCTCTTAATAGTTCCATTAAGAGGCAATCTCTGAATCGTTAAGAGGTGAATCTTGTTTGGCAAAAAAAAGTCTGTCTCTTAATGGTTCTAAAACCTTCTGAATGATTTTGTATCATGGGCCTCCCTAAACCACTAAGAGCCCTAATTTCATTGTAAACAATTACCAAACAATTATATTTCATTTTGCACTATATATCATGAGAGACTCTTAATCATTCTGACCAGTTAATGATTTTGCACAAAACCATTCAGCAACTGTCAAACAACTCCTAAATCATGATCTCTGTTTATGGTTTTTTTTAAATAAAATAAAAAATACATTAGTTAAATGACTAATTTGCCCATATTTAATTTTATTAAATATTCCACCTTTATTATTTTTTGGTCAAATTATTGACAAGTTATAATTCCTTTTTGTGTGGACAGGGTGGTATTCTTATCTTTGGCTTCCATTTGTTCCTTTAATTGTAAGTAAAGACTTATTTTCCAACCAATAAATTAACTAATCATTTGACTTTTTTATTTATAATTATTTAATTTTTAAATTTATAATTTGCAGATAATTTTACTGATTGGTACAAAACTACAAGTGATTATTACGAAAATGGGATTAAGTATCCAACAGAGAGGAGAGGTCGTACAAGGTGTACCTGTAGTTCAACCTGGTGACGACCTTTTCTGGTTTAATCGCCCTCGCCTCATCCTCTATCTTATCAACTTCGTGCTCTTTCAGGTAAACTTGTATTCCATGAATTTAAAACTTATATTATTTGTTTTTAAATCTGCTAGAGTGTTACATCGGTTAAACTTGGACCATTTATCCTGTATATATGTTGTAAGCTCTAATTTCTCCTCAAGGACTTTTTTGGAGAGTGATTTGGGGGGTTTCATATATTCTCATATGGTATCAGAGCCAAAGTCGGTCCTGACACTTTGGCCAGCCAACTATAGACACCTTGGTACAATTTGTTTCCATCTAGCCTCTGATAAATAAGGCATGTTGAAATCTTACGTCCACTTACTTTGGACCATTTTTCCTGTATATATAAAAAGCTTATTTTTTCTGTACATATTTTTGCAGTATATTGTATATGTATTTATATTTATTAATAAATGTTTGTTTATAAATGTTGCAGAATGCTTTCCAGTTGGCTTTCTTTGCATGGACTTGGGTAAGATTTGAAAAATATTGTGAATTTGAATATTATTATTTTATTTTATTTTAAGGATTATTTATATATTTAACAATAATTTATGTATTTATTATTTCTTTTTTTTATAAAACAGTATGAGTTTGGGTTAAAATCTTGCTTTCACGAGCATACAGAAGACATTGTCATCAGGGTCTCAATGGGGTGAGTTTGGATTTTCATTAAATAAAATAAATTTAAAATTATTATTTATTATTAATCATAAAATGGAAAATAATATCGGTTTTTTTATGGGTCATGCAGGGTTCTTGTTCAGTTCTTATGCAGTTACGTCACTCTTCCGCTTTATGCTCTTGTCACACAGGTAATAATTGATCTACATTTACAAGATAATATAACTGAGTTTTAAAACATGCATTAAATGTTTGTACTTTGTGCATAAATGTATAGATGGGTTCAACAATGAAGCCAACAATATTCAACGAAAGAGTTGCAACAGCGTTAAAAACATGGCATCGGACCGCAAAGAAACAAATCAAAAGGAACAAAAAGTCAGGTCAAGTGACACCAATGTCAAGCAGGCCAGGGACACCGTCTTATGGCATGTCTCCGGTTCACCTTTTACGGAACTACCAAAATGATATTGATAGTTTGCAAACTTCACCCAGAAGGTCAAACTTTGATACGGATAATTGGGACACTGATGGTTCGCCCTCGCCTTCCTATCACCGACGTGGTGACACAGAAACCTCCACGAGTCATCATCAGATACAATTAGGCTCTATGGACCATCGTAATGAAATCCCCGAGCCAAATCCGTTACAAGTGGCTATAGTTCCTGAGACCGTAGATAACCAACAACATGAGGTGACGATAGCATTTCCTAAAGAATTCTCGTTTGATAAAAGACCGAATGTATGATAGAGAACTGTAAGTAAAGGCATAGATATTATCATTGATCTAATTTCTTTTGTTCTTTTATTATGATCCCTGAGAAAGAAATATAACACGGATACCATTTACATTAATAATTGCAATTTTCATTCATATGTATGACATTTTATGATCTAGCAACAACGTTATTATTCATCTTGTTAAGACTTGCTACCACTAAAAAAAACTAAGCTTTTTGCCTAAAGCTCCCTTCCTTATTACTTACTGAATAAGCCACTTTTTTGTATTATTAAGTCAGTAATAAGCAATCATGTATAGCTGTCTGAATAAGTTATGAGTCTCAATAAACTCATTAAGCTGCTAACAAACAAATCATCAGACACTTTTCACTTCATTATGAGTTGGAACTCAACTTTTTTACTAAATAACTATTTGAAGAATAATCTAATGGATTCTTCGTATTTATACATGATATGAAAGTCAAGGTTTATCATGTAGGTGCATTTTTACCTCGGACTTGACATTCAAGAACATATGTGCACATCTAATCTCTGATGGAAAAAAAATGTGTCAGAGTTTTACATTGATTAAACTCTGACATTTTTCCTTAAATACATGTTGAAACATTCTTTTCAGTAGTTATGAGGACATATTAAAATCATAATAAAATAATTAGTTGAACAAAACAATTAAATGTAACGACAATTAGATAGTTTCATGTTTACTACTTTCAAAAGTAAGAGTAAGATGTTGTTTGTTTACCTCTTGATAGTTCCATTAAGACACAATCCCTGAATTGTTATGAGGTGAATCTTGTTTGACAAAAAAAAGTCTGTTTTTAATGGTTCCAAAACCCTATGAATGATTTTGTATCTTATGTCTCCCTTAACAATTCAACACCCTAATTTCAATGTAAACAATTAATGAACAATTATATTTCATTTTGCACTATGTCATGAGAGCCCTTTTATCATTATGTAGCAAACAATTCATCAATTGCCAAACAACCCCTAAATTATGATTTTCATCCTTGTGGTTTGTACATAATTGCAATTTTCATTCATACGATTTGTAATTCATTGTTATTTTCATCCATGGATTAGTTCCTACCTTAAAGGATCAAAACAATAAAAAATTTTAAACCACAAGGACCGAAACAACGATAAATTAAACCATAAGTATGAAAATAACAATAAATTATAAATCATAAGAATAAAAACCGTAATTTCTAAACTACAGGGAAAAATCATAATTTTTTACAAATCATAAGGAATTAAAACGTAACTTACTCTAATTGGTGCCGATATCCCACTTTGGTTTTTCCGATGATGTGTAAAAGCCATTTCTACAATGTGATTAAATAAATCACGAGTTACTGAAAAAGGGGTTGTCGATGACCAGAAGCAATAACCCATTTTCATCATGGTTTTTTTAACCTTTTCTTTCGTAATTTGTATGTGGGATGTAGACGAGGCGTTTGTAGAAAAACCTCAACGATAAACATTAATCCTTAATTTACTTCTTGATGATGATCATTAATGCCATAGTTAACTAGAGTTGATTACTACATGAATACTGCCATCATACTTCCAAGTTCTACCTTATTAGTTACTACTCGAGTAAAAAAGTTATTACTAGCAACTCCAATCGGCCCAATTCAAAACCGTCACTTAAGGGTCTGACCACATGTTAGAACGCATTTCGAATGATCGAATAAAACCATAAATCCCATAAAACCAATTAAAGAGTATGTTTCTACTGCAACAACAAACAACCCAACACAAATTTCAAACCCATTGGATTCAAGAAATACCAAATGATAGCCCAATAGATATAGAAAAGGCCAAACCAACAAGCAATTAAAACAACATTTTAATGTCACCAAATCCAATCTTTGTCATTTACATTTACATTTACATTTACAATGGCACACTAACTACCTTTTCCTATTGAATCTTAACAAATACCCACATGGTAAATCAAGAACCCCAATTAAAAATACAAAATAATTCATTCAATATAAACAAGTTTTTTCACCTTCATTGTTACCCATTTAAGCAATTGATGCAACTAAAACTTCCCAATCTCTCCGCTGTGATGGAAGTTGAAACCATCGTGGTGGACGGTGGTGGTGGTGGTGGTGGTGGTGGTGGTGGTAGGGATATCCATCGTCTGAATGTGGTTGTTCCACCCCACTTGATCAAACAAATTTGAACCCAACAACGTAGAAGTTTTCTTGATCATCGTTAGTTCATCGGCTCTCATCACTACCTTCTTCTTCAACAGTTCCAATGAAGAAAGATACTGCTCCAACTCCTCCACCTCCATCCCTTCAACAGCCTCCTCGTACCACTGTAATCCGCTGCTCCTCTCTGCCGGAATCAACTCTCGCCGCTTCTTCTCCATCTCCAACTCCCTTGAAACCTTCACGTAATGTTCATTGAAGTTGAACAGGTGCATGGCCGGCAGCGGTGGTTGATAGTTCTGGACGGTGGTGCTGGTGGCGTCGATGTTGTTTTGATTGAGATAACGGTCAGCAAGAAGGTCGGCGTTAGGGTGGCCAAATGCAAACACTCGTCCGCCGGGAGAGTTGACGAAGATGCCAATCTGGGCTCCGGTCAAGACACACAGTTCCGAAGCCTTCCTGAAAAGTCCGGCACGGCGTTTGGAGAATGTGACTTGACGGCTGTTGGGTGCTTGTATCTTCTTGATCTCAATCTTTTTCCGGCCTTTGGTCTTCTTGTTCATGCTAACCCCGCCGGCGACATTTGCTGTAACCATGGTGGCGATGAATGGCAGTGTGTTTTTGATGAGAAAGAATAGGTAGCCAGGAAGATGAATTTATAGCAAAATATTGGGTTCAAAATAAAATCCGATTAAGATTCTTACCCCAAAAAATCGGCGGTTGATTTGTATTCAGTTTTGATAATTATCGGCGGTCAACTCATTAATTACAATGAAGACGTTTTCATAACATCTAATCTAAAATCTCTCAAAAAATTTACTTCCATAACTCCAAAAAACACTATTTTATTTTAACAATATATTTAATATATTATAAAATATTATTTTTCTTATAAACATTTAATTTCAATCTTCCCGATTAAGCAGAAGAAAAATCAAATATTATTTCTCTCTTTTTAATATAAATTATTTTATTATATTAGATAACATGGTTATTGAAGCAAAAGAATTGTTAAAATCTTACTTTTTTCTATTTTAACATATCTATGGGGTATGTTTATAAAAAAAATTCAAGAAAATTATTTTAGAAAAACTAATAATAAATAAGATATTTCAATAAATAATATTTGTAGATATTTGTTGAGGCGGTTGGAAAATTTGGTAATAAATGTAACTATGTGATTTATAATTGAGTTTATAATTAATTGAAAATTAATTATATTTATCATCATTTTAAGGATAAATTAATATTTATCATCATTTTATGGATAAATTAAATATATTTATCGTCATTTTAAGGATTAATTAAATATATTTATCATCATTTTCAAAATAAATTATAAACATATCTCTATCTTTTTTATTAACCTGGATATTCAACCCGCTATGCGAGCTGATTAATCATAGAACGACCACCTACTTTGCAGATAAACTGAAGTCCTCACATTTGAACCTCTGTGGTCACAATGGGATTTGTATTTCTCCTTGGATTTGAACCTGTGACCTCTTGGTACTTTTGACCTTTGAAGTCAAACTCAAACCAATCAGGCACCACCCTTGTGGTTAACATATCTCTATCTTAGAGATATGCCTGTCAAAACATTTGAATTTTAAAAAGCTTAGAGAACAAGTAAACTCATGTTATGGTAAACTAAAAAAAATTCGGAAAAAGCCCATTTCATTTATGTAGTTTTAAAATTATAAGATTAAAACTAATGGTAGACTAGTCTTCGTCCTCTATGCCAAGCCAGCTCCACAGTGAGTCATCTCTTCCCTTTTAATCCTTAGATGAGCTTTCAATATAACATTTCCCTGAAAATGGTTTTATATTAAAAAACAAGGGTTAGAACATAAGGTCTAGTGAGTTTCTTTCAATAGATAACAACATTTATAAACGGTGGTTAAAATAATAAATATGTCATACTCAAATAACATTAGAGCACATTCTGTTCTTACAGATATTGCACAACATTTATAGCAACCCCGTCACATACCCTGTGACAAATATAATATTAGGCTCCTAATAGGTACCTATCCAATGTGTTCAAGAATTGAATTCAAGGCAGATCGAAGGGATCACAACTCTCAAGAGATATAGCTACCTCAAGGTACCCTACACCTACTATGCAACTCCACACACCCCGCGTAGCGACATATTAGCGTAATTTTATCAACCAGTGCAAAAGATAGGATTTGCATGATAAGTCATCGATGCATAAAAACCATAATCAATGCTCAAAAGCATTAAAAAAGAATGTTTAAAGACATAAAGTTAGTGTAAGGGAACTCGATCACATGTGGTCCACAAGCCTAAAAGAAGCTCAAACGGTGAAACGGATAAGAATCCCACACCAGCACCTGAATCGATCGAATAAGATTCAATATTAAAACCCACTAAAACCGCTCTATTTATCCTCCAAATGCTTATAATCATATCCCAATAAAGTCCCAAAAGAAAATGGTGACCAACGTTGGTGGGAGGATGCCGAGAGATGATGATCGACGCCAGTGGAGTGATGTCAGAGATGAGGTGAAAATGTTGTGTACAATGTCTTAATATGTGTACAAATATTATAGATAAATACTATAATATATAAAATAATATACACAAAAAAGATAACATAAAAAAGGTAAAAATACCAAGCTACCCTCGAGTCAACGGAAGTTATTAAACAAAGTTAGTGTAAGGACCAGCGGCGTGACAAAATATGGAACAGAGGGACTTAGAACGTAAGAAAATGTAAACCATGGGGATATTTTTCATAATTTTAGGAGTGTGATTTTGAGCAAACCACATGAACCGATGTGTAATTCACTCTATAATTTACGAGATAAATTCCAAAACCCTAAACTCCGCTTTCCAAAAGGTTAACCAGTTAAAGTCGTGACAAAAATCACCATCGCCATGGTCCAGTCCAAAAAAGGTGGTTGTCACCCACATAGCATTCGACCCCCTACCAAACCCGAGTTTAAAAAGGTTTTCAATCGAATGTAATACGAAGTCGATTTCTCAATTAAAATGACTTATTTATCAATCATTTTAACTCATTATATTTGTATAAAAAACCGATCTAAGTTGTATATATCATCTAGCATAGAAAGGCAACATTATTCCAAGAATGATGCCTAAATTTGGAGTTTATTCATAAAAGAGTTGCACAACATCGTAAAGGTCGTGGTTGATTGAAATTAGAAACGTTAGCCCAAATATTTGTATGGGTTTTATTCTAAAACAATAGTCAATGAACATAATATCGTAATTAATAAATGTAAAAATAAGAGACTGTTTATCAAACACTTATCAGGTAGGTTTTGCGGGCAAAAGAAATTACCCTCATTGACATTATTACGTAACATTTTTTGTCATCAAAATGGATTGTTGGTAAGCATTTAAACCCGGTAAATATTTACCAGGTAAGAGTTTTTTCCTCACTAATTAACCAGGTAAGACTCTCGATTTTTATTATGCCTCTTACTGGATAAGATTATTAATTTTTGTCATCGTCAATCGATAAAATAAGTTATATCAATATACGCTTATCTAGTAAACATGTATTCTCAACATTTGACTCCAAAGTCGAAAATATGAGCATGAGCACTATTGCTATAATTGCAAAAATGTAAATGTTTTATTAAGGGGCCGTTTACCGAACACGCTTACTCGGGTAAGTAAACATCAAGTCACATTACCTTTTTTTTTTTAAATATATAATATTTATATACGGCAAATGCAACAAATAAACTCACACACCCTCCTCACCTATGGTGAGGTTTGAACCCCTGACCTCCTAGAAGGCCAAGAGCTACGATACCGCTAAGTCAAAGGCCCTTTGGTAAGTCACATTACCTTACCGGATGAAGATGGTAAGGACAAAGAATCTTACCCAATAATAGCGAAACAAGGACCAAGAATCTTACCCAATAAGAGCGAAACAAGGACCAAGAGTCTTACCCGATAAATGAGGGTGACGACTCTTATCACGGTAAGCGCTTACCGGGTACATTGTTGTATACAATGCCGTTTTGGTGGACTAAAATCTTACCCGATAAATAAATGATAGTGTTAAATTTTACCGGTAAGCGCTTACCGCGTAAGTGTTTAGTAAACGGCCCCTAAGTTTTGAATTTTTAACATTTGGTAAATACACATTCACATTTATCAATTTTTATTTACTTATTTTTAGCATTCTAATTGAAGTTTTAATAAATTTATACATGTGAAAATGATTAAATGTATGTAAAAATTCGTGAAATTGATTAAATGTAAAGATAAATATAGTTGAAAATACAACATTTTAAGTATAATGTACAAAGTAATAATGTATAAAAAAATCATTTAATTTTTATAACATTACTATTTTACATATATTAAACAAGAATGAAAGATTTCAATTAATTTTTGAAAACCCATGTTACTTTTTATCAGTAATCGGTTCAGAAACTAATCACCCAAATATAATAAGGTTGTGTTTGATACATAGGATATGACAGGACAAAACTCATTGTTTCATGTTTGGCGCATGCAACATGAGACATGACAAAAACTCACTGTCTCATGTTTAGTGCGACATAGGACAAGGACAAGAACTGAGACAATGTAGGACAGCGTGACATGAAAAAGATTTTTCTTGTTCCACAAAAATTAGGTGGAACAAGATGCGACAAGAATGAAATAGAAACTAAAATATTATTAATTAACTCTCGTTTGATATATAACCTTAACATGATATTTGTTTTTAGTGGTAATCACCGCTAGTTGCGGCCGCCACCACCACCGGTAGCCACCATCGGCTACCTTCACCTTCTCCCGTTCCACCACCTCCACCACCACCACCACCATCACCATCGTCTATCAACACCTCCACTACCACTGTCGGCCACCAACTGCCACTGTTCATCTCCACCGCCACCATTGGCCACCTCCGCTTTGTTTTCTACTACAACAACCTCCTCCACCACCTCCACAACTGTCATCGACCACTGACTGACACCGTTCATCGCCACCACCGTGGGTCACCTCACCATCACCACCACCACCACCACCACCACCATTGGCTACCACTATCACTGTCCACCACTACTATTGTCGGCCAATGTTAATAATATTATATGATTGTTTAGAACGAGAATATACAAAAAGTTTAGTGATTATTATGAACGAATTATAATTTAAATATTCAGCATCAACTGCTTAATATGGATTACTGGATTTTGTTGAATAAATACGAAATGTTAAATCCTAAGTTTCAAGACAAATCAAGATGAGTTTCATCTGACTTCCCTATGAAACAGACACAATTATAAGTAATGTTTTCATTATTTGTAAAGTCGTATGAACATATTATTTCTTTACAAATTTATAGTAAAAAATGTTTAAAAACTCATAATATTGTACATATTATATGTGTTCAATATTTCACAAAGTATGTTGTTTGTGTGAAAATGTTTTTGTCTCGCATGTGGGGTCAAATACCCAGATCGATGTCGACAGTAAGAGGCGGGGTGTCATAAGGGTACATATAGAACCAATACATGCATCGTAATGGTATCTTTTGTACTTGATGTTTTCAACTATTATCAGAACATATTGTATTGTA